GGGGGGTTCAAACCCTAAGCATGTTACCCACTGCAAATCCCACACACACACAACGGAGGGGGGGTTCAAACCCTAAGCATGTTACCCACTGCAAATCCCACACACAGACAACGGAGGGGGGTTCAAACCCTAAGCATGTTACCCACTGCAAATCCCACACACAGACAACGGAGGGGGGTTCAAACCCTAAGCATGTTACCCACTGCAAATCCCACTGTCCATAAATTCTGTCACTGTTACTCTCCTTGCTTCCCGGCTGTTCTTTTTCCTGTTCATTATTTTTCCTTATTCCTCTCCCTGCTTCCTGTCACTGTTACTCTCCCTGCTTCCTGGTTTATTATTCTTCCTCGTTCCTGTCACTGACCAATCAGTGACATGTGCTGTGCTGAGTGACATATTACCTGTTTTGCTCTATACAACAATATTCATGGCCTATATTTAAATTTGTTCTGTGTTGTAGGAGGGAACATCACAGAAAGGTCTGTGGCTATTCACCTGTAGGGGGCGTGGACGAGCCATGGCTGTCCTCATCCGGCTCTGACAGGGTGACGGTAGGCACGCCCATCACACCTACACTGAGGATGCTCTCCCGCTCTGACACCAGAGGGCGGCGCTGCTGTGTGATCCCGGCTGCAAGGGCCTCCATCGTGGGGGTGGGGCCGGTGGTAGCTGGGGCAACCGGGGTCTTCGTCAGGTCCCTTCCATAGGGGTCCTTGTCCAGCAGGATGTCGGAGGCGGCGGCGCTGACCCGCTCCCAGTCATCCAGGGCCAGCGGCTGGCCCACCAGCGGATCCTTCCGGCAGCTGATGTCCATGTAGTTGTAAGCTTCTGTCTTGCCTGACTCCAGCAGGTCCCGGGCAACGTCGATGGGGTCGCTGGGGGTCATCTCGATGCCCGAGTCAATGCTGAACATGCCCTGCGATTCCAGGCCAGCGATTCGGTCGCCCAGCGGACTAGTCTTCTGCTCCTCACGCTTTACCCCCCCGGGGAGATGGGACACCTCCTGCTGGAAGGAGTAGCTCTGGCCTGAGAAAGAAGAGGTGAAAAGATCACTCTCAGTTTTGGGGGATGTCCTCACTGGACCTCCTGCTGAAAGTGAGACACATCAAGGATGCCTGGGAATCGGGAGACGGCACCAAAGCACCTCACTGATATGCATGATCACAGAAGGTTGGGGACAAGATGCTTAATGTGTCCTTCAAAGTGTCTCCATACCCTGCTTGGATAGTGTTAGTGACTCCTGAGGAGAGCAGGACCACACCAAGTATCTCGTTCTTTGAATCACTAAGTGACAGGCTCTGAGAGGGGTGCTGCACACACTCACACACAAACTCACACTCTATCTGCAGTGAGCTGCCAATGACCATCCAAGAAGATCACGGATCCACCAGGCAGTCTACCTCCAGTGATTACAGCTTCTTAAACATTGTCCATCTTTCCTGTGCTGTTTTTGGTAACTGGAAGCCTATATTGTGTCACTTTCGTGCTGCATTTTAGATGCATATATGCAGCTTATTAACTGGTTAGATTCTCTTTCCTGCACTGGCCCATAAGGGCTCTAAGAACACGTGGAGCTCGTGTACGTTTCACCTTTGGAGAAGCTCCTGACTTTTCCGAAACATTTCCGTGAAATTGGTACTGCTGAATGAACACCTCTATGCCATGACACAGGAGAGTGTCTAATGTTGGGAGGGGGGACACAACTTTCAATTTAATCATTTAAATACAAAGGTCTGTTAATTGAGGGGATGAATGAATCCAAATTAAGCAAAGGGTGTGTGCGTGTTTGCGTGTTTGCGTGTGTGTCAGCTGACATGCCTGCATGTCCTCCATGTGCTCATACAGGCAGTGCAGGCTCCTACTGCACCCCACAAACATGTGATTAGCTGAGCTGTTGTCTCCACACTGCCCTCAAAGTGGTCTCCCTTCCTAGGTGAGCTCTGTCCTGTGTTGTCTGGGACAGACTCACTCTTGCAGGCATTCTGGCAAACCAAAGGTGGCGCTGTGTAGCCCATCTGACTAAGACGCTGAGCTGGTCATCAGAAGGCTGCTGGCTCTAATCCTGCGACTGGCACAGTGATGTCACCATGAGCTCCTTAAGCCTGTTTCCTCACACTGCTTCCTCACACTGTTTCCTAACACTGCTTCCTCACACTGTTTCCTAACACTGTTTCCTCACACTGTTTCCTAACACTGTTTCCTAACACTGTTTCCTCACACTGTTTCCTAACACTGCTTCCTCACACTGTTTCCTAACACTGTTTCCTCACACTGTTTCCTAACACTGTTTCCTAACACTGCTTCCTCACACTGCTTCCTCACACTGTTTCCTAACACTGCTTCCTCACACTGTTTCCTCACTGTTTCCTAACACTGTTTCCTAGTACTGCTTCCTCACTATTCCGCTTTGGATAAAAGCATCAGCTACGTAATTATAAATAAATATATCAACAAACCCTGGAGCAGAAACGGGAAAAATGAAGAAACGGGAAGAAAAAGACTGGAATCAAGGCCACATGGAGGAGGAGGCGGAGGGGTGAGGGGTGCCGAGGTTAATTGGTCTGGGCCGGAGGCGGCGGAGCGCCCCGCTGTGGTCCCCTGGATAACGACTCCATGGCAGAGATTCACGCTCGACTGCAAAGCTGAGCAGAGCCGAGGAGCGCAGAGAGGCAGAGGAGCGCAGAGAGGCGGAGGAGCGCAGAGAGGCAGAGGAGCGCAAAGAGACGGAGGAGCGGAGAGAGGCGGAGGAGTGCAGAGAGGCGGAGGAGCGCAGAGAGGCGGAGGAGTGCAGAAAGGTGGAGGAGCGCAGAGAGGCGGAGGAGCGCAGAAAGGCGGAGGAGCCGCCGGGTCCTCAGCTCGCTCACCACGTACTGCAGAAGGGCTGTGCTTCCCCAATCAATACAGAAAGCTCTTAACTCGTCTGGAACGTTCCATGCTGTACTGCTTACGGGGGCTCTGCCTAATATACGATGTCTGCAAATTGCTCTAGAGGAGATAAGTGGGGAGGAATAATTGCTCAGTAGCATATAAGAGCCAGCTAACAGTGAGCATTAGAGAAGCTTTTTGTCAGCATGGAAGTTTTAAATCCAGCGCGGTCCCAGACGCTGCTGTCCTACATCTCACTCTGAGGCCGTCTGGGAAAAGGGTATTTTTACCATCCCGCAGCGGAATAGGCTGTGAGTTCTTTCCATCAGGCTGAGAGTACCCATGATGCATTGCCACAGCCTTCTGATAGGGTAGAGGGGATGGGGGTATGGGGGGGGGGAGAACCAGCAGGTGACAATATCGACACCACAATGAGCTCTTGCTGCTGAGTTCATGCTTTGTCCACAGGAATTAGTCTCTCAGAAGAAGCTTCACCGTGACTTAGGTCACGCATCTCTACGAAGGGCATGAGGGCGGCTTGGTAGCTTCAGACGGCACAGACTGAACTTTCCACATTGTCATGGACTCCAGGGGGAGCTGAAGGGTGAAAGGTCACGGACCAGTGGGAGTTCACTGTGTGGAACATAAGACAAATTTAGTGACCCCCGGCTGGGTCGGTGGTTAAATGGGCCGCTGTCCACTGCGGGTCGCTGCGGCTACTCAGCAGCAAGAGGCAGAAAGAGGAAGACCACATGAGAGAAGGCGGCAGAGTGCCACAAGCAGGCCGCAAAGCTGGGGAGGGAATGTTGGCATGTTTGATGGCATGGCAAAGGAGGGGGGCTCACATTCACAGCTCAGCATGAACTGTCCGTGACACATGTGTGTGTGTGTATGAGTGCGTATATGTGTGACTGTGTCTGTATGAGTCTTTACGTGTGTGTGTCTATGTGCATGTGTGTGTATGAGTGTGTATATGTGTCTCTGTATGTGTGTCTGAGTGTGTGTGTATGTGTGTCTGAGTGTGTGTGTATGTGTGTGTGTGTATGTGTGTCTGAGTGTGTGTCTGAGTGTGTCTCTGTATGTGTGTCTGAGTGTGTGTCTGAGTGTGTGTGTATGAGTGTGTATATGTGTGTCTGAGTGCGTGTGTATGTGTGTGTGTATGTGTGTGTGCGTTTACAGTTTCCTTGCTAACATAACCAAGCGCGTCTGTATCCCTGTGCTGCTTTAATATGCACGCTCACCGGTCTTCCTGCGTATACGCACAGGGTTTGGCCTCACAGCACATCAGCCAGCACAGTTTCAAACCTCACTAATGTCCTCCTGTTAATGACCCCAAGTTAGGCTACAGGAAATGGGTGGGGGGGGGGGCACTGAGGGGCGATAGATCTTCAGGCCTTGGTGGGCAGAACTGTGGAAAAAGGTGGCGAGAGATGACAGGCAGACAGAGCAGTGACACGAGGCTGTTTGATCCTAAGGACAGAGACCTGGGGTCAGTGATGATGGCCAAGTGGGGGTTAGAGCGACACAGACCGTGGAGCTTGGCACCCTGCCGATTGTAGGAGCTGCACTAAGTACAGGGTCTGTAAGCAGGACATGGGCCAAGAACGGGGGGGGACAGATGCTGACACACGGAGAGACACGTGCGGAGGGAGCGACAGCGGGCATGTGTCCCGGGGAGGGACATGGACCTCTGAGGGAGACGCGACTGCTTCTGTTTCCCTGTGTGGAGCTCAGCAAAGGATATCTCTGCCGCTTATTAATTAGCCTCATTTCCCCACGCGTCTTTCCATGTCTTGTCCAGCCTAAGCTCCATCAGCCCATCCCAGCAAGCCCCTGGGACAGGGCTGAAGCTGGAGGCAACGTGGATGGGATGCTAAAAGCAAACACTAGGGGCACTATAAACTAACCGTAGTCTTTGGCTTTGAATGATAAAACAATAATGGGGTTAAGGGCCATGTTAAGAGCGCCTGATCCCCACCCACTGCTGATCCTCACCCACTGCTGATCCTCACCCACTGCTGATCCCCACCCACTGCTGATCCTCACCCACTGCTTATCCCCACCCACTGCTGTTCTCCACCCACTGCTGATCTCCACCCACTGCTGATCCTCACCCACTGCTTATCCCCACCCACTGCTGTTCTCCACCCACTGCTGATCTCCACCCACTGCACTCTCCTCTGATGTTCAGGTCCCATTTCCACCTGGGGGAGGCACAGGTAGGCCCCCATCCAATCAGAACTCTTCATATCCCAACAATTAATAGTGCAATGACCCATTTTCTGGCCAAAAAAAGCTCTGGTACAAACTGCTGAATTAGCAGCACTTGCCTTAACCCTTTGGCAAAGCTTATGCGGTGCTTGGAGCTGGCACACCACACCACAGCTGGCCTCTCATCGTACCTGATGAGACAATGGCCAACAAAGAAGGTCTTATGCAGGTTCTCTTCTGACCTCCAGCACTAACGGAACAAGGGGACACAGCCTGACACATTGGAGGAGGCGGGGATGGGCGAGTGGGGGATTCCAAGCCCATCGTACTGCAGCAAACAGCCAACAGGACCCGTCACCTCAAAAGAAGAAGCCTCCTGGGCTCAGACACAGAATAAGTGAGGGAAAGAGGCCACTTTCTGCATCTCCTGCTCCAGACTGCAATCCAGCACACAATAAGAGCAAGAGCCAGTGTGCCCGACACCTGAAGGAGAGTGTGCACAGAGATCACCAGTGTGTGTGACACTGGAAGGAGAACATGCACAGAGATCACCAGTGTGCATGACACTGGAAGGATAGCATGCACAGAGATCAATAGAGTGAGTGACACTGGAAGGAGAGCATGCACAGAGATCATCATTGTTCGTGAAAGAGAGCGTGTACAGAGATCAGTAGTGTAGATGACAAGGTATCGCTCAAGGGTCAGTTAGAAGTGGATTCCTTATGATCATGGGCGGAGTCATAACCCACAGAGTCAAAATTAGCGCTAAAATTAGTGCGTTGATCTGTAATTGTTGGATGAAACAGAATGATCAGACTATAACTGCTGCTAGCAGGTCAGACTCTGCCCCCTTAGATCTTTTATGGACACGGACTCTATGCAGAAGCACATCATGTGCCTCCTCCTCTTCAAGGATACCCAGGGAAGAAGAGTCTGCCCCACTTTCCTGC